ACTCCGAGGCGGCGCAGCGGCTGGTTGACGGTGGCGCCGACGTCGACGCCCGGGACAAGCGCGGCTCGGGGCGCCCGGAGAACGGAGAACGGAGCGGGTCGGACGCGTCGGGTCGAGGTCTCTCGCCTCGAAGGCGACAACGGTCGCTTTCGCCGAACAAAGCGGCCGAGGCAGAACGCCCTGGGAGTACGCCCAAGGGAGTGGCCATGAGACGCGGATCTCGCTGGTTCTGCGTCCCGTGCCTTGGCCGTGCCTAAGTTGGGTGATGGGCTCCCAGGAAGAGAGAGAGGGTTGAGGAGGAGGGAAGGAAAAGAAGGGTTCTGGTTGGGCGGATATATTATTTTTAGTTATTTTTAGGATGGAGGATTGGGGATTTGGATGAGGTGTTGTATATTTCTTTGCCTCACGCCGTGTTTCATTGATTTCATTTAGGTTTCCATCTCGAAATGGTTGCTGGATGACTCCCCTTTTACCATCTTTGATATCTGTGGATGGCGTGGGTTTCGGATTTGTTGTGTTGTGAGTTATTATTGTTTTTGGTTCTGACTGGCCAGAGAACCAAGTTATTTTGCATTTGGACATATTTGGACCACATTTAGACCAGCAGCGGTAAATGAATAATGAACCAAGATTGAGACTAGGAGCCCTGAGTGCAGTTTTCAGCATTGCCAATCTTGCGGCACAACTTTTTACTACAACACAAAGCATAAGACGGCTCATTGATGAGGATACATTTGCGTCACGATTATAGACTCTGGCTCACTTGAAACAGAAACCGTCAAAAGTCAAAGGGTGTCAAAGGCAACTAATATAGTTGAAGCTTGAGGCTAGATGATGCTCGTTTCACTTGACGCATTCTTTCCTTCCCACTGGGAATACACATTCGGCTTGCCATGCGGCCTCTTTCCCTGAACTAATGCTTGTCATGGCTTCGCAAAATGCTCAGGTCCAGGTGGGCTTGCTGAGTGGCCGAACTGTGCGCTGCAGCTTGGTTGGCGGGATATATTGCAGATCTTGATGCTTTACTTCTCGGACATTTTCTGTCTCACTTGTCAACTTGGTATTTGGGGGGTTCCTTTTGCCGCTGGGTGCCGTGGAAAGCAACCACAAGCAGGTGTTAACAAAAGACCAAGTAAGCGCAGCTAACGAGATTGAGCATGTACAAACTCAGATGGATGATGAAGAAGTGACCAACCTCTTTCGATTTGCTCCAGATGTTGGACTTTGTGAGGTGACCCGTATCCCAGCCATACAGTGCGGGACCTGCTCGAAGAAGCCCAGCAACTTTGAGGCAGCAAGTTGAGATGAGTTGGCTCTTATGATCTTGGATGTGCGACACCTCTTGAGCTTGGTGCCTTGAGTGTATGTGATGATATCAATGAATTGCATTCGATGCACACATGCTGAAATATCATTGCTCTGTCTTGGTGACCTACCAGTGCATTGGCTCAACACCTTATCTTCCTATAATATATTCACGAGCGTCGTGTGCCTTCATCCGTTGATATTGAAAGTGGATGCGAATTTGATCCATTGTTTTATCAACAAGGAGGGTTGCTTCAAGACAGAGGCTAGCTGAAGCATGCCGAAACTGCTTGCGTGATGATTGAATAGCAATGCTGCTGATGAGTGTCATGATGTAGGGCTCGTGGGTATGGGCTGCAACAATACTGCGATAAGACTCTGTTGTTCTGTCATTCTACATCAATGGTGTTGCAGAGGTTCCGACGCGGGGGATACCTATCAAAAATACAATTGATTCCTATCAATTATTAAAGGACCGGATAACCCCACATATGAATCTTTACGAATCTTAAGTTTCTAAAGCACAAAGCAGTCAGAGTCTCAATAGCTTCTGCAACATGGCCTTGTCAGGAATTATATCAGAATTACACAACAGAGGGGTGGGAGAGAGGTGTGGGAGAGTAATGTGCACGGCGGATGTACGAGGTATTGCGCAGACATGTGTGTACAGCCACAACTAGCCGAAGTAAAACCCCATCGCTCTGCCGACGTAAAACCCTATAGCCAAGCTCTTTTTCATCGCGCAGACGAAAGCAGGTCGTGTTCGTGAACCTGGGCGTCGTCATGAGTATTACATGCAAAAGACGTCATAACCGTCTGTAAAAGTGAAGACCAAAGATTTTGTTTGTCACTGTCACCACATCACTTGCGCCTTGGAACCTATGTCGCAGAGCTTTCCAATTGGGACGATGCCGTGCCTGCATATGGTCGAACGATGTTTCCAAGAACCTGCAGCAGTCGATCGATAATTGCATAAAAGCACAACAGGACTGAACATTTAGAGACACAGCCAACTGTATAGGAAATGGTCCACGTTTCGTTTATGGTCGCTTTGACATTGAAAGCGCACCGTTTGCGCCTTGGTATCTGCTTGGCAGCGCTTTCCAAAGACTGAACACACAGAATTGTAAGAACAAAGTCTGGAAAGTTTCGGCCTTTCAGTGTGTCATGGTGCCTTGGCATCTGCCTCGCAGATTCGTACTGACATCATGTCTACAAGAAGATGAAGCACCTGCACGTGGCCGACCGATCTTTCGACAAAAGCAAAGCAGGACTCCACATAGAAACAGTGAACTGTAGGAAAGCAGGAGCGTTTCGTTTATGGTGGTTTTGAGATTGAAAGCACACCGAAACTTCTTTGTTTCATCGCGCAGACGAAAGGGCTATCATCTGCAACAAGATGCAGGTGCGAAGTGGCATCTGCCCTGCAGTGCTTTCCAAATGGGATCGTATCTGCAAGAAGATGCTATGCGCATCTGCGTCACAGACCTTTGGTGCGAAGTGACATCTGCCCTGCAGTGCTTGGCAAATGGGAGCATATCTGCAAGAAGATGCTCATCTGCGTCCAACACAAACATCCCATTGCTCACGTATAGACGTAGAGCGCCATCTCGGCATCGTTCTGCTCTCTTTTGGAATTCTGCTACACGAGTGACAATTTGATATACTCCCCGCCTTCCACAAAGCAAACCTTCAAAGACTATACAAGAAAATACCACGAATCTTCTCATCCCTAGCTGCTCAGGCCGCGACTCTGTGTTAGACGCATAGGCAGAAGTTTCTTCCATGCGCCGTTTCCGAGGGGGTTCTGAAATGCAGTTCTCCCCAGGGCTGCGCAGTTCAGCGCCCGCCGCGGGCCTTCGCATGTCAATTTGATTTATCCAATGTACCCTTGCATCATGATGCTTGCATGATGCCAAAGATTCTGATACCCTACACTCGATGCATACCAACACATAGTATTTCTTCGTTCAACGATCACGCCGAACTTCTCAGGTAACGACTGTGCGTTTGACATGGAAGACACAGAGGCGGTTCCGGCTGCAGACCTTAAGAGACAAACGCATCACCACCCTCAATGTCACACTGTTTGATCTAAGCAAAGCATCTTGCATACAGCAACTTCTCAGTGAGCAACTGTGTGTTTCTCTCCCAGGGAGGCCTGAGTGTGACAACGATTGTGATCATGCCCAACTTCTCAGCTAACGACTGTGCACCGGACACGGAGGAAGACGCAGGGCCGGCGCAGGCCGCAGACCTTCAGAAACAAACGCATCACCGCCCTCAATGTCAAATTTCTTGATCTAAGCAAAGCATCGATCATTAAGCACTTCTCAGTGAGCAACTGAGTGTGACATTTGCCATTGCTTTCGAAAACAATATAATCTTGGAAAGGTCACGCTCACAACATGACTGACTCTACAACTGAGATAGGCACTCCGAGACAATCGAAAGTCGGCAGTCTTGCTCAACTCATCCGCACTCACCGCACGAGCTGCAGGCCGCGCAGCCGTGGTAGCTCCCAAAATACAGCGCTTGTCTCACAGCGCCGACATCCAGAGAAATCCACACACCCGGCTCCACTATATGCTCTCGGATCAGCGCGTGGAAATATCGCTGTACCCATGCAGTACTCTGAGAAGACAACCTATCACCCCTCTCCACGTGGATCAAAAACCACTGGCCTTCCTTGCTCAAACTAAAATTTCCGGAATGAAAATCCTGGTTCCACTCCAGTCCTGCTTTCTGTGCATCTCGCGTCATCTCCAACATCCCAATGAACCAATCCCGCAGTTCGCCACATACCTCCTGATTATTCTCAGGACTTTCCTTCTTTGCATCGAGCAACAGAGTCAAACTAGGTCCAATATATTGCACCACCACAACATCAGTCTTCGACAAATAGAGGTTGTGATCAGGAAATTCACAGACAGTATGACCAACAAGCAAGGGTAGACGTTCTGTGAGCCGTGGATACCATGTCCGCAGAGCCGCCGCCTCCGTCGCATTTGATGTGTAGTTCGGTTTCACTGGGTACATCTTGAACACCATAGATGCGTCGGCGTTGCGGTAAACATCCCTGCCTGCACCATGGGCCAGCCATGATATCCTTTCCTCTGTCGTCTCACCGTTTTTCCATAACAATTCGACAGAGCAACTCCGTACCAACTTGTTGACCGTCTCATTCGCTTGTTTGTTGTGCCAGCTTGAAAATGTATTTTCCACGACTCTCATGCTTTGCAACGAATCCATCCTCCGCGCCGAGGTGAAGACTTTTGTCTTCGAGAAGCTCTCCAAATGGGGTCGTCTCTCGAAGATCCACTGCTACGCTTGGAAATGTTTTGAAATTTCGCCATCTTTTGACTCACTATGATTGAAGCATATATCTCCTCGTTGTTATTGGTGCTGAACTAAATGGAAAAATCAGGCTTCTGTTCTAACATGTCTTCTTGTGACTCAGTCAGACATGTTTCCTGCTGACGCTACCACCTTGAACCAAACAAAGCTAAAGCTTTCGATGATTCAACTGAAAAGCTTTCCTCCTGCTTTTTGAAATCTCAACCACGACATTCTCTAACTTCTCTAGTTCTTTTTAACTGCTTTGCTGCTGCCTGAGTGGTACGAGATGGGCCGGAAACACATGCAGTCTCTAACTTCTCTGCGCTTTCCAAATGGGATTGAGCCGAGACGCCTGAAAACAGACGCGGTATCAAACTCACGGCGTCGCACGACGACACCGATGTTTCCAATTTCTCAAAGCCCAAAAGTGCATGAGGTCGATCTCGCCAAGGACGCAGACCAGGACGCGCGCGGAGTAAACGCGCGATGGCCGCGTCGCAATCTAGTCTGTGATGATATATCAACCAGGCACATAGGGTGGCACTGCTTCTTTGTATACCACCATAGCAATGAAACAGTATGTTTGCCACACGATCTCCCTGCCTTGCTAAAATAGCTTCAATTCTCTATCTCTGTAAATAGACTTGTCCAAATCTCTAACCACTCCGAAGCAGAAGCCTCGATCTGACCATCGTCACCCCGTGAACACCAATCGGAAATAGGCGCTCTGATATGTTTTGCGCCAAAACTGCGATAGTATTGCTCCCAACCCATGAGTGGTCTTCCTCGCAAAGATTCCAATTCAGAACCACACACAGTCACAACAATTGCCATTCGATTGCCTGTCGTGATATGTAACTCATCCAAACTGGCTGCTGCTTTCGCACTTCCCAGCAAAACCACACCTTCTGTCGAAGCATACCCTGAGCATCGAATATTGATTACAATCAATAAACTTCATGGTTTTTAGATTGATTTTGATAAGTTTGATATGAATTGATTTTTTCAAAAGTTCTCATATTGAAAAGTTTGATCAGAAAATTGAAAATTATATTGATTTGCCTTTTGAAAAAGGTGGGGTCAGAATCAATATCTGGTATTGATTTTTTTGATTATATTGATTTTTTTGATTTTGCTGATTTGCAGGTTTTTGTGGCTCAAAACACCAAGGGCCAAGCACTGATACCTATAGAAAGATACACAGTACAATACAACTTCCACCTTGAAAAAGGCTCACCTTTGCACCTTGAAAAAGGTCTCTGGGAAAAAAGACTTGGAAAAAGTCACCTTGAAAAAGGTCTCTTGAAAAAGAAACCTTTTCAAAAGCAATGTCTGGCAGAGGAGGTGCCAGGCACCGCCCCAAGCCATACATTGAGACAGGCTTGCTTTACTCAGTGCTGAGCAAGCATGAAGACCTGTGGGTAGATATGAAAGGGTATGAGCTACTCAGCAGAAATTCTGCAGCTGACCCCAGGGCACTGTATAATCTCCTTCCACTCGTGGGGGATTTGCTGGACTTGGAGCCCAGCTGTGAGATCCACCCCCAACCCCTCAGGGCATGTCTGACAAAAATGATCTCAGAGAAGCCTGAACTGAACAACAGCAAGTTCAAAGGCTCTGTGTATGTCAACCTGAG